TTTTGGTAATGTGGCTATTTTGACAATATTAATTCTGCCAATCCAAGAGCATAGGAGATTTTTCCATATTCTAGTGTCTTTAATTTCTTTCTTCAATGTTTTTATAATTTTCACTGTACACATCTCTCATTGTTTAGATGTATTCACAGTTTTTTATTTGTTTGAGGATATTGTGAATGGAATTTTCCTAATTTCTTTCTCAGTAGGATCATTATTGGTGTCTAGGATAGTTTGACTTTTGCTAGTTGATCTTGAATCTAGCTACTTTGCTGAATTTATCAGCTCTAAAAGTATGGTTTTTTTCCCTTGGAGTCTTCTAAGTATAGAATAATGTCATCAGCAAACAGGGATATTGAATACTTTTCTATTTTTATCTCTTTAATTTTTATCTTTTGCCAGATTGCTCTGGCTAGAGTTTCAAGTACTGTATTGAATAGGAGTGGTGAGATGAACTTCTGTGTCTTATTTCAGTTTTTAAAGAAAATACTTTCAATTGTTTTCCACTTAGTATGGCATCAGCTTTGGGTGTGACATATATAGAATTTCAATGTTGACACAAGTTCCTTTTATTCCTAGTTTTTTCAGTGTTTTTAATGTGAATAGGTACTGAATTTTGTTAAAGGAATTTTTTTATATTTACTGAGATGTTTATGTAATGTTTTTCTCTAATTCTATTATGTGATACATTGCATTTACTGATTTTCATATATTAAGCCAACCTTGCAATGTTGGATGGAACTGATCTTCTTAATGGGTTTTTGAATGCAATTGCTAATATTTTATTAAGGATTTTTGCATCTATGTTCATCAGGCATACTGATCTATAGTTTTGTTTCCTTGATGTGTCCTTATCTGCTTTGGTATCAGGGTGACACTGGCTTCAAAGAATCAAAACACATTTCATGTCATTAGGTAATGTATGGATATAATGTATTTTTGATACAGAAAAATTACAAAATCTTAACCATAGTATGTTACAAGTTAAAAATAATCCATATGCCTAGACCAGAAAAACTTGTTGCATTTTATTCTAGTCTGTTATTCTCCTCTTCCTGCAGCCTGAATGCTGCACATTTCTCCTTCTCTCCCTCTCTTTCCCTCAGATGATGAACACAGGCTTCAGTGGCCCCCTGCACTGCTCTCTCCAAATACCAATTTCCAGGTTAATTGGCTCTCTGCCCCCCCAAAAGTGCATTTCTCACTTTCTCCTCCCTTCTTGCATCCCACTCTACCTCCCAATTTCTCACTCCTAGAGGATGAAATTTTTTCTCTTTTCACATGGAAAAAAAAAGTAGGACTCAGGTAAGGACTGCCTCATAATCCCCTCAGAGCCTGCACATTTGAAACTGTCCCACATGAGTAAACAACAGGAGGACCCTAGCCAGATGCCAGTGCCTTGACCTTTGACTTCCCAACCTTACTAACAGTGAGAAAATAAGTTTCTGTTCTTCATAATTTCCTCAATATGTGGTGTTGTCCTATAGCAGCCCAACAGACTAAATCTCCATGAATACATTCAGGCATAATACAATTCCACCAATTTGGTCTTTGTTAAGACACCAGTCCTGGGCTGGGGATGTGGCTCAAGCGGTAGCGCGCTCGCCTGGCATGCGTGCGGCCCGGGTTCGATCCTCAGCACCACATACAGAAAAAGATGTTGTGTCCGC